TTTTGATATTTTATAAGGTCATGCTTTAATAAAAACTATATAAATCACACTTTTAAACTTTATACAGAACTTAGAAAAATTCCACAAATTTGTATCTAAATTTCGAGCTTTTTAACCAGAATTTTTAAAAAAATTTTGGCGTATGCAGTTAATGGGCTTATAGGCTAGGATTAAATGGGATATAAAACCGCATGCTTAGATTTTTTTTTTTGAATTCTTAGTAAAAAGTTTGTTGTTTTTGTAAAATGTTGTTGAATTTTTCTAATTTTTCTACAAAGTTTGAAATTTGGACTAACATGGTTTTTGCTAGGTAGTGGGCTGTATTTTTATAAAAAATAATAAACATTAAACAAGCAAAAGAAAAATAGCCAAAATTGGTCAAAATGTCGTGTCCCTATTATTTTTCACATGACTGTATGTCTATATCTATATCGATTTCTTTTGCACAATTGCGACCGCGTATCAAAATACATACAGTGCCGGACAAAAGTATTGGCAGAGTTTTTCGCAATATATGCAAAGTTTTTTATTCTAATTCATTTTCAATATTTTTAAATAAAAATATAGTTGGTACTTCACCAAAAAACATAAGAACAAAACCTCTAGACATTGTGAAAAACTCAGGAAAATTCAATAAATTTGCATACTAATTTGCAACTTTCTATTCAGGTTTTTTATTCAACGCAATTTTTTAGCAACTTCAAGCTTGTACTTTGTTATACTAGAATTAGATGGGCTATAAAACTGCATACTTTGAATTTTTTTACTTTGAATAAAAAATTGCAAAATAGTATGCAAATTTATTGAATTTTCCTAAGCTTTGCACAAAGTTTAGAGATTTAGTTTTTATGTGTTTTTGGTGTAGGACGAACTATATTTTTTGTCCGGCACTGTATACTGCCTTTCGGCTACTTTTAACAACTCCAACTTTTAACTGCTGCAACTTTTGAAGTATGTATGTCGTTCGATATCCGGAATGGGAAAGCGCTTAAAATATAGTGTATGAGTATGTAGAATTTTTTAAAGGAAACAAGTTTAAAATTCCTTTATATCTTTTTGCCGTATTCCCTAAGGTGTCGATATAAAAATAAAATGCAATCATTTGTACAAATTTGTAACATTTTTTGGGCAAGAATTTCTTTAACAGTCAGATGATTGGTAGATCGCATAGACATCTATTTTTTTTTAATTTTCGATGAAGAGTAATCTAACCTATCCACTCCGTAATATTACAATGATTTTAATATTATTTTTTGTTTGATATTTCCTTTGAGGTTATAATGCGTTCAACTTGAAAACGCCAAAAATAAATATTGTATGTATACCATAAAAGAACCGTTTTGATAAAGTCTTTGAAATTATTTATTTAGTTTAGAGAAATGCTTAAATATTTACCAAATAAATTAGCTGTAAGATACTCTGCCGTGTGTTTTTTTTTGTGTTACCTAACCACTTGAATTATTTTTATAAAAACCACTCTTCAAGAGGCCATTTGATCTAAGTAGAAACTCATACAATTTTTAATAAACTAATTTCACAGCTACATAGCGGATATATTCATAATAATCTTCGTAACTTCTCTTTCATGCTCCTTTCAATTACGTGCAGAAAGAAAGTTCAGCACACAAAGCGACGGGAATAGTGCCTTTTTACACCGCCTGCTGGCGCAGAAAAAAGGTAGACATCATATTTGCTGCTTTCTCATCGAACGTTTAATGCGAGTAGATAGCCTTTGCTTTGTCATAAATAAAAAAAATCGAAAAAAAGACCCTTAATATTAAAAAAAAGCTAATATTATTTTGCCAACAAAATCCATGGTAGACACAGCGCATCTGCAAACAATCAAGAAATGGCAATTGGCATATTCACTTTAGACGCCCACTAAAGATCGCTTAGTTGCACAACGCCCACCTGCATCAGCTTAGCTGCATACATACATGCATACAAACATACACCTACCTCTCACCTTAACACCTACATACTTGCAAACGTTTCTTTAATATTATTATTTTTTTTTAATTTATTATTGTCATTTTGCCTGTTGCCCTCTGGCAATGTTTTTGACTTTCTTATTTCGTTTTACTTAAGACACTTTGAAGCTTTTGCTTCAGCAGATTCAGTAATTCTTAAATGTGCTATGTTTGGCAAAGTTAATTGGCCCAATTTAGGCGATGAGTGAAAATTATCTTCGCCATTTTTATTTATTGCAATACCCATCGCAAACGTTTTTGCTCGCACATAAATGCGCATTACATTATTTTTTTTTATTGATTTCCGCAAACATTGTCGGTAAACGTTGAAGCGTTGTATTGATTAGATCGGCGGTTTTGTTTTCATAAGCTTATTCTCTTTTGCCATTTATTTGCTCTTATTGATGATTACGTTGGCGGCATTTTCGAGTCTTTTATTTCTGTTTTCCTTTTCCGCCACTATTGCAAATATACAAACATACATACCTTCCCCACAGTCACTCTCGTCCAAGCTCAAGAATATTCGCGCTTTTTTGCAAATACATAGAAATGCAAATTTGGCTTTCCAGTATGGGTATTCAAAAGTATTCCATTACTAACTGAATTGAATTCCATAATTGAGATTATATACGGGTCAATCCATGTCAAATTGACCAAAAGCTGAAAACAAATTTCGCAAGCTCAAAATTTCACAATTTACCTAATTTTACAAGTTTATTTTTAGAATATCTCAAAAACTGTTATGATTACAAAAAGGTTCTGGTTTCATTTTAGAGGTGATATTTGAGCTATAAAAAAAATTATATTAAAAAAAAAATATTCAACAATTTTTATTTAGCTCGAGACCGTTTTCAATAACAAAAACATTTAAAAAAAAATGTTAAATAAAAATATTACAGAATTTTTATTTTAAAAAATCTTAAAAGTAAAAACTTATACATAAAAGTATGACATGTACATTAGGGCGCAGTAATTTAATTTCGAAAAAAGTGTATGGCATATTCGAATTCTACGTTAGATTCTAAGCAAAAATGGTGAACACTATATACCAATTTTTAAAAGAAAAATCAGTGTATTATATGTTTTTCTGAACGAAATTAATTTTTAATTTACAAAATTTTGTGTTTTCTTCATACAATATGCGGTTATTTATTTTTTTTTTATAGTTGGTTCGCCATTTTTGCTTAGAATTAATCGTATGAATTTGCTATGCAGTTTTTTCGAAAATTTTGTTCTGAACAAATTACTGCGCCCTAATGTACATATATAAGTTTTTTGCTATTTTTTCTGTTTTTAAACAAGACCTTAACTTTTATCCTTTATTTAGGGCTACAAAGAAAAAAAATTAAAATAGTTGGAAGTATAAAAAAATTACATAAATTGAAATTAAAAAAAATTTAAAACAAAAACTTCTAAAAAATGTTGCCAACATTTTTTATACAATAGCTTCAACTGATCTTATAGGACTATAAAGAAAATAAACAATAAAAAAAAATTGGAAGTACAAAAAATTGCAGAATTTTGAAATTAAAAATTTTGTAAAAGCAAAAATTCTAAAAAAATGTGCTAATTTTTAATAGAATAGCTCCAACTCATCTTAAAAAATCTTAAAAATTTCCAGACGGTGGTTTTATAAAGATATGAATTCTTGAAAAGAAAATTTGCAAACTCTAAATAAGAAAAATAAATTAAATTAACATTTTTTGAACATCACTTTATAGAGATTGCAAAATTTTTTTCTTTCAAAGTTAAAAAAAAAACATTGAAAAAAATTTTGTCAAACATTTTTATAAGTTTTACACTCCCAGTCATTTGAATAGCACACCCTTTTGGATCCTTAGTTTTCCTTTTGTTTATTTAATATTCGCCATTTCTTATAAAATATGTAGCATATTATACGTGTAAATCCGGTTTTACAATTTTATTCAAATTTGAAAAACATGTCTCCAAAGGGGTGTGCTATTCTAATGACCTGCAGTGCTATTCAAATCACCGCGATTGTACATATTTTTTCTTTAAATACATATATCTCGTTTAAAGCGAGACCAGAATAATTCTTGTAACTACATATAATAGATTTTGAGATATTCAAATTTTAATTTTAAAACATTTTCGAAAAACAGTTTTAATTGTTTTCCATTGGCAGGACTTTGTTATAAGATCAAAAATGACGAGCGACCAGACCAAAATTCATCCAAATCAAAAATGGTTGATTTCAACCATTGATCGATTTGACATGGTTTGGCCAATACATATGTATGTGTGTATCAAAAACTAATTGGTCGGTAATAATATTAGTATGTACATACATACATACATCATTATTATTAAGTATTGGCTCAAAACGTCCGCTGGTTCTTATTTACGTTCATTGCAAAAACCCGTTTAAAATTACTAGTTTTAGTGAAACGAATCAACATATGCACAATTCATTCTTAAACTTAGTACCATAGCAATGAGAAATATTTTATGATTTAACTAATTGTTTTCATTATTTCCTTCCTTCCCCTTCCTCTCTTATCTAGGCGAACAAGAATGCTACGTTGTCCGCATCTGCAACCGGTGATCGCGTGCCACCCATTGGCAACTACCAATGGCCAGCCGATCAGACACCTGGCGTTATGGGACTCAAGAATCACGGCAATACATGTTTCATGAATGCAGTGCTACAGTGTCTCAGTCACACTGACATACTGGCCGAATATTTCGTATTGGATCAATATAAGGTGAGTAGGGTAGTGAACCTGATTTGATACTTGTAAGTACTTAAGTAAGTAAGACATATACATTTTAATATTAGGGGGGCACATAAACAGCTAGGATTACAGAACATACATCATTGAACACTNATATTTCGTATTGGATCAATATAAGGTGAGTAGGGTAGTGAACCTGATTTCATACTCGTAAGTACTTAAGTAAGTAAGACATATACATTTTTATATTAGGGGGGCACATAAACAGCTAGGATTACAGAACATACACATCATCGAACACGTTTGTAATCGCACTTCATTTGTGTATTTAAAATGTTACTTTCCTTTTTCGTTTTTGAATTCACATCCAATTTTACCTTTGCAAGATGACTTAGTATATACACTTGTGGTCAGCTGATCAAGTTAAGTGACAATTTCACCAGTTTTAGTTATTTCTCTTTTGTCTATTACTTGTTTATAATTTTTTTTTTATTAAAGTCTGGCACATTACTTTGTGCAACAATTATAAAAATTCAACAAACTTTAACAATTACACCCAAAAATTTTTAAATTCTTATTAAAAATATTTGACAAATTTTTAGGTATGCCGTTTTATAGCCCATTAAACTTTAGTAGGTTAAAGTGCAAATTTCAATACGCTAGAAAACACCGTTGATTTTTAATAATTTTTTTGTGGGCGGTGCTGAGCAATTCCTCCCATATAAAGTATGCTCGATAGTTATTTTTATCGAACCAATTCTTTTTATCATAAATTCAGTTTTAAAGTTGTTTGTAAAACTGAACTGTGGATGCATTGTGTTCAACGGTATTGCAATTTTTGGGCACTGCTGCATTAGAATATCTTTCCTGCGGCTGAGAAACCCTTCTGCCCAGATGTTGGTTCCACTCAGCCTTATGATAGCTCCCTCCGTCTGAGTCTGGATATATACGTACGTATATGAAGTGCAGGTGAGATTTGCAGGAACTTTCAAGGAAAATATCTTATAGCTTTGGTTGTGCGTACGCGTACCAACCTTGGTATCCTGGGTCGTACTAAATGTAGGGCCAGCTCAGTATTTTTAGGATATTGAAAGAAAAAATATTGATATCAGCATCTATTCATCGGCAGAGATTCGAAAATTTAAAAATTAGAGCGGCCCGTTATTTAATTTTATAATACATACGTTCGTACATATAATTTGTTCAACAAAATTGTCTTATTTGTTTTCCATTTAAGGCTGATTTAAAGAGGCGCAACAAAATCAATTCACGAAAATTTGGTACAAAAGGAGAGCTTACGGAGCAGTTGGCCAATGTACTGAAGGCGTTGTGGACATGCAAGAATGAGAGCGATCACAGCACCAGTTTTAAGGTAAAACTTCTGCGTTTTTCGTGAGTCAATTTTTGTATTTGCACATACATACATATGTATGTATGCGTGCGTGTAAATATTTAAATTAACATTTATATTTTCTTATGCAAATTCTTTTTTTTTCTCGTGCAGGCTGTTGTAGATCGCTACGGTTCACAATTTCGTAGCTCAACACAACATGATGCTCAAGAATTTCTGTTTTGGCTGCTGGACAAGGTGCACGAGGACTTGAATACGGCTACGAAACGGCGTTACAAAAGTGTAAAGGTGATTATTACTTTTATTTACTTATTAACTCTACTTTCGGAACTTAAAGTCTGCATTTAATGTTTGTTTTATGAGATTCGTATTGACATAAAAGCGGGGGCGGTTTTTGTTTATCGCTCATATACTTCTATTCGCTTATAGCCAGATTTATTTATAGCTATGACCTGTTACCGCCATTACCGCCATGACAACAAAAAAAAACGTGATAGTAAATATGGAAAATAAAATTTTCATACCAAATAAGAATGTTAAGCACTGTTTTTAGATATAAAGGGGATATATGTAACTCCTTCTGGTCTCAGAACTTAAAAAGGAAGTATCTAAATATTTAATGAGAACAAATGAACGTTTTAAATTTGAATTTAATATTACAGCAACAACTGTGCTTTTATTAAGAATTATTAAAAAATTCTAATTGTGCAATTGCTAATAATTCACGTTGATTTTTGATAATTCTTTTGTCGATGCTGTTAATATTCTCTCATATACAAAGAAAAAATGTCAAACACAGTTTTTTTTTGGAGAAAATACGTGACACCGCCAGCANCTAATAATTCACGTTGATTTTTGATAATTCTTTTGTCGATGCTGTTAATATTCTCTCATATACAAAGAAAAAATGTCGAACACAGTTTTTTTTTGGAGAAAATACGTGACACCGCCAGCAAAAAAAACGAACGTAGCATATCGATGACTGAGAGGAAGATCACCTATCTCGGCAGCCAGTTCGAGAACGCCCTTTCTCAGAAAACTTTTCAAGAACGCCCTATCTCAGAATTTGGTTCAAAAACGCCTTATCTCAAACGAAAATACATTGAAAATGTGCTGAGATAGGGCGTTTTTGAGCCGAATTCATAAATAGGGAGTTGTTAAAAAATTTTCTGAGATAGGGCGTTTTCGAACTGGTTACCGAGATAGGTCGATCTTCCACTCAGCCATCGATATACTCTGAATACATACACTGCGGGCCCGATAATTAAAAACCACTTCTTTACAAGTTTTGACGATTTTTTTTGTGAGTTTTAATTTATTTAAACAATTTATACATACATACAGATATAGGTCATACCAAGACTTATTAAACAGGTAGTAGGAGTAGAACAGCTGTTTTTTCAATTTGTTCCGTCTCTAAACTGTCAAGTATTGTTAATTTTTTCACAAAAAGTTTTAATTGGCAAAATGTATTTGCATGTGAATATTCAAAAAAGCTATTGAAAGCCAGCTTTTCGAATGTTTGCTTAACTCAGGAGCATAAACGCTGATTATTAGGCCCTGCAAAGGATGTATTGATGTTTCTGGAATGAAGAAAATTTACAAATAAAGAGTCTCGCCCCAAATTTACATTGTTTTATTTCGACTTTTTTATATTTCACATCGCCCACTATCTGCCATTCCTAAATTGGCGCTTCAAGCGCCAAGGCACTGTCAAAAATCCTAATACTTATACAATTTGTATGAAGGATGCCACAATAACGCGGCGCTAGCGCCGAGCAAATGGAATTTACATTTTTGACAGGGCGTTACGTGTTGAAGTTCGATGCAGAAGACGGAAAGAAAGAAGGGGACAAAAAAGTGAAAGCGGAAACGAGAATAAAAACGAGAGGAAATGAGAAAACGTCAAAAATTACGCCGCGATGATTTGGGTATAGCGCGCGCTGTCGCTGGTTGGCATTGGAAAACGCAACGCTTAGCGCTCCAATTTAGGGAAGCCAGTAGGATATTTAAAAAAGTAGACTATTTTTTTACACTTTAGATACCAGAAGCGACAACAAAGTACATACATATAAAACAAAGTTGTAACCCTTATACAGGATTTATAAAAATTCGCCAAACTTAAAAAAATGGACATACAAATTGTGTGGCCCAATAAATTATAGTATAATCTTGTGCAAATTTTAAGTGCATATTTCACAAATCTCGTTGATTTTTCAGATTTTTTATTTTTTTGCTGAGAAATTTTCGACGGTTTTTGTTCAAAAATAGCTGGAAGGGTTATTTTTTTTTAGAAATGCACAATTTTTTTTTTAAATGCTTGGAACGAATTTTAGAAAAGATTGTGGTATAGGCCCGAATTAAAAAAAAAAGTCGAATATTTTTTTAGCTAGGATTAGTTTCATAGAAAGTCTTTTCTAAAATCCATTCCAAGTATTTAAATAAAAATTATTCAGTTCGGTAAAAAATTCACTCTGCCAGCCAATCGAAAGGTGCAAAACGGTTCGAACCGCTCAACCGAACCGAACAAATTTTTCAACCAGTACATGTCCCTAATTTGCCTCCGCTACTGCCGTTATCCGATACACGTCTTGTTATTTCTTTCAAACGGTTTGAACCTTAGTAAACCTTTGGGTACTGTTCCATAATTATACAAAAACCATACTGAACCGATAAAGGCATGAGAGCTTTTTGTAGAAGGTTATTAAAGAACCGGCTTCCATTTTATGGGCAAAGTGCATATTCCAAATTAAATTAATAAGTTTTGATTCGTCCATGTAGCCTTTTATGAATTTATCTTTTGTATATTTAGAAATGGTACATATCTATCTTCTCGACAAAGACGCAGGTTTTGTATTAAACTGATATTCCAACTTCAACAGTATGGAGGAAAATATGAGAAATTTCCACTTCTATCCAGCTTCTCTTACGCAAGCATTGCGAAGAAATGGCATCTTATCTACTTATTGACTATAATTGTAAAATGTTTCATGAATTGCATAAGTCTGCATCAAATGTTTTGATCATTTATGTATGTATAGGTATATACACTTTCATACATATGTACATATATATTATGCACATACATATTTACGTTGCATTTTATTATTGAGGAAAATGTTGCGGCGTAATTTTTGCCCATCAAATGCACTAGTGGCTAGCCAATAGATGGCGACCAGACAGATTGTGGCAGTTAATTTTACAATTCTTATTTACATTCATTGTAAATTAGGCATCTGCAAAAAAAAAAAAAAAAACAAGTGATCAGAAAGAAAGAGGGAGAAGAGAAATGAAAAGGGTTTGTCGCAATATTGCGCCGACTGCTTATGTAAACAAAAGCAAATTATTGTTGAAGTATGTATTTTTATTAAAAATATTTTCTCGCGACGGTTTGTACTCATACACATCTGTGTATGCAGGTATGTAATTCGAGTGCGCCGTGATTGTAAGTATTGCTACGCGTGCACTTGAATTATTATCAAATTCGCAAAGTGGAAAGCTACAATTTACCTAGCGTCTCGTGTAGATAAGATAAACTAAAGGAGGAGGTAGCAGCGCTGCTAACGTTGACGCCGATAGCGTCGACAGCAAATCATTATGAAATAGCTTTTAAATTTACCTTCACAAAAAAATTTCTTCTGTTTTAAAAGTAGCGATCATTTTTTTTTTACGGTAACAAATATGTATATGGGGACTAAAACGGCAATATGAGAGAATCTCACGAGTTGTTTTTTTAGTGTCACTCCTTTCTCTCGTCGGAAAAGAAAACGCTGAAGCACTCTTTTGCATTTATTTCAATCAATGGAGTTCCAGAAACAAGTCTTAAAACGTTTATTTAGTCGAAAAAGTTTGTAATTTGTAATTTTTGATATTTAAGGTTTTTTTTTTTATTTAGAATAGTTTAAGATACTTGAAAATTTTAACATAAAGTGAAAATGTTCTTCGAGCCAAAACGAATCAATCTAGTAGAGTAATGAAACCAGTGTGCCACCAAAGGAAGAAAAACATTGATTATAAGATGACGATGATTGCGAAACAAGAATTCCAATTTTATTTTTTTTTTTTGGCTCATTCGAAGTTTATTCTAAAATTGTTACCTACATGAAGAAATTAATATATACAATCAGCGTTTAAAATTTTAATACCCTGACGTTTTGGCGATTTTATTTATTTATATTTTCCATACCAAATTTTTCTTATTTTTTTTTTAACATACATAGTTCATTCAAGAGAAAACAACGCGCCTGCCATTCTCAAACTAATAGTAGGCATTTATTTATTAAGGCTGCGTTTCACCAGATTCATTTAAGTGAAAATTACTTTAATTTTCGAAATTTCAATTGTTTGCATACGGATAACTTAGAGACTTCAAAATGTTTAATTCGTATGCACTATTTATCTCTGCGTACGATGAGACCTCATGGGAAATAACTATTTACCGCCTGGGCGTCTTTTTTGGCGGGCAGACATGCATACAGTTTTGATATTTTTTGATAATTTTTAATATTTTTCAGAATATAAATTTTTTGAACGTTGGCGTGTCAAATGCAAGCTTTTGGGTCTTTCTGATCGGCGGGAGCAGAAAGCTTTCTGATACAACTCTGCGCTGAACTGGTTTTCAAGCGAGTTAAATGATTTAACTGGTACAATTTTCCAACAACAATCAAGCCCATTTAACATGTTTAGCCCGTCAATTTGAACGTAGTATTGAATAAAGAACTTATTGAAACTGAAAATAATTTAAATGAGAATTAAATAAAAAAATAAATTAAAGTTAATTTCCATTTAAATGAGTTTAGAGAAACGCAGCCTACGCTAGGAATATTAGGCGTGTATTGTTGCAAAGAGTGCTGGACAGATGAGTTTTCTCTATAATATCGGTTGATTTCTTAGCTGCTGCAATGTCATTCTTTTCTCTTTTACGAAATTTCGGAAGAAAATCGGTTGAGCAGTGAAAATAATGCTGCTGCTATGTGAAGAATTTCTTGTAGAATTTTTTCAGAATTTTATGTATTTTTCGTACAGAAATTTCTTTACGAGTTCTTGTCAAGCACTTCATATAATATTGATTTATTTTGGAACGAATTTCCGTCATCCCTTGTCAAGTTTGTGGTTTGCAGACAAACCGGTTTCGGCGTTGTGTCATCTTCAGTGTCATTTTTCGTTCTCCTTCATATAATTTTATTTTTGTGTAAAAAAATCGTTATAGAAGTGAGATACTCTTAAAGATTTCGTTAAGAATTCGACCACTTTGTTTACATGGTAGGTACAATTTTTATTTTATTTTTTATTTTTTTTTGTGAGAGAGATGCACCTTAATGTGCTTATAACTACATACGTATAGGGTATGGCGCATGATCACCAGCAGATAAATCGAATAGAGCTTATGTATTGACCAAAATTTATAAGATCGGAAATTTTTTGTACATTAGAGGCCCTTAAGTTAAGGGCCTGTGAACGAAATGTCAAATCCTTTATTCTGTCAGCTTCTCCCATTTGTTGTAGCTAATCCATCAAAGTAACATGACTCATTATTGTGTGATCGCACTTTCAGAATTCCTATGGCCGTCCTGATGAAGTAATCGCCGCAGAAACGTTGGCAAATCACATCCGCTGCAACAATTCCTTCGTACAAGCGGTGTTCCAGGCACAATTCCGCTCGTCGCTCACTTGCCCACGCTGTAAAAAACAATCCAACACATTTGATCCGTTCCATTGCATTTCGGTGCAGTTGCCACAGTTGATGCAACAGACAGTTTTCGTAACTGTGGTATATCTGCAACGAGAACCACGACAAATAAAGATCGGTATAAGCGTGCCCACTGGTTCGCCCATTGTCGCCTTACGCGACCAATTACAAACAGATACTGGCATTCAGGGCAAGAGCATGGTGCTAGTTGATATAAACAAAGAAGGATTTACGCGCGTCTTCTACGACTCACAACCAGTAGCTACATTAAGTGGTATCGAATCGATTTATTGTATCGAAGTACCCGAAATAAAGAACGCGCCAACAACGGTATCATCGAAAACAGTTGCATCCGAGGAGAAGGAGAAGAAGAAGGAGGACATAATTGGCACCACCAATGCTAATTCCAAAACTAGTGGCGCGGCAACGAATTCTATCACAAATTCAACAGAGGCCAACAAGATATGTGCATCTGGCAAAACTACCGATACTAATGCCAATGCCAATTCCAATGCAGCTGGCCCCAAGGTCACAAATACTCCATCCACTGCCAGCACTACAACGGAGCTACTTTTACTGGTCGCGAATGTGCGCAAGCGGAAAGTAGCTGTTGAAGGTGCTGAAGCAGCGAAAGACAACAGTCCTGTCTATACTGTAGAACGGTTTGGCATGCCATTTAGCTTGCTAGCAGCACGAGATTGTTCTTATGCCGATTTACAAAAACTACTTTTATGCGAAATGGCGTCATTGCTAAAACCTGAAGTTTTCTCGAACGCAAAGCCACTCAGTGATATGTTTCAAATGCGTCTCCAGGATCCATCTGCAGATCCAGACACATACCTGCAGAATGTTGAGCACCCGCTGCTAACGGAGATGGTCGATTTAGCATTATCAGTACTCTCGGCGGAGGCTGGACCACCACATATAAAACTTTTGCTCGAGTGGTCTGAGCCCGAAAAACATTTTGCGGATCTCAGTGATAAGGTAGTGGAAGACGAAAGTGTACCGCGTTTACGCAACGATGGCAAATCGAAGACGGCAAACGACACTGCAGTACTTACTTTAGAGCAATGTCTTGAGCACTACACCAAAGCTGAAACATTGAGTGCCGAGGATGCCTGGCGCTGCCCCCACTGTCAGCAATATCTGCCGGTTGTGAAGACGCTAGGTCTATGGTCGCTTCCTGACATATTGGTGGTGCATTTCAAGCGTTTCCGGCAGCACCATGAGAAGGGCGCAAATGCGGCAAAACTTACCACTATGGTAAAATTCCCGTTAAATGCATTCGATATGTCACCGCACTTGGCGCGCGGTGATGAAGAGGAGGAAGGACCGCGCACAACGCTCAGTGTGACTGCTGCATTGGACATGGGGCCGCATAGTCGCCCAAGTCCATGGAAAAAGACACGTTCAGGAGACTCCCGATCATCCACGCTTAGCTCACGAGATAACAGGGAGACGCGTTATGATTTGTACGCTGTGTGCTACCATCAAGGGGATACGCTCGAGACGGGTCACTACACTGCCGCATGTAAGAACCCCTACGATAGGCAGTGGTACAAATTCGACGATCAAAGGGTTTCCAAGGTACCCAACGAATCAATCGAAGAAGAGATAATTAATAATGAGGCTTACATGTTATTTTACCAACGTCGCACCGGGGATGCAACTGAATGCTCCGGTTCGAGTTCGAATTCTGGCGATCACTGGGTCTCGCGAATTGCTCCGCCTCCAATGGCAGTGGTTGAGAAGATAATCGCCACCGAGGAGAAACTCGTTGAAGAAGATATATCCGAGGATCGTAAGGAAGTTGTTATTGTCGCTTCAGCTCCAGCGATTAACACAACACCTGGAAAAACTGACGAAAAATCCGTGGATATACCAAAATTGAAGGAACCTGTACATGAAGTGGACGCAGTTGTCAATGGTAAGTCTAAATTCTGAAAATGCTTTAAACCCTTTCCTAACACATTTCTATCTACAGAAAATACAGAAACGGCTACAATGGTTGTGGACATTGAAAAGATTTCAGTCGATATTGAAACGCTAGACTTTGTTGATGCGGATGCTGTCGCTATTGACGTTGAGGTTAATGCTGATTGCAAGAAGGAAATTATTAATAGCATCGCTAAATCCCTTAAAGAAGAATTTATGGCCAGTAGCGTTGGCGACAATCAGATCTTCGTTATGGACGAAGACTGTCAATCTGAAGAAAGTGAAACACTAACAAAAATACCACAATTCGTGAACAGCGCAACATCTGTTACCAAATTACAATCGTCACCCGTATCGACTTCCAGGGCGATGGCAGTATCGACGACGACGACGACTGAGGCGCCGCTGATACCAGCTTGTGCGACACCATCAAAAGCACCTGCTAGCACCTCAGCAAATAGAGTATTAACAGTATTAACCAATGGCTATGCTATAGATAACTCCACATTGCCAAATCGGGGGCCAACGAGCCTCGTGCATGCCGAAATAATTGGTAAACCCAACACTCCGGGCACGAGTCTCATTCCCATGTCTGCAATTCCAGTCGGTATTAATGGTAGCCGCATTAGAAATTCCTCAACTTCCTCCTCCAGTTCATCGCTGTCGTCACATTCTTCGCCACACTCGCTAGCCGCGTCCATACATGGCGCTTCGACATTACAAAACAAGTTTAATGGATTCACAGCCACTTCGGGCACAGCGAGCAGCAACTACAAGGAAGTATTACTCTCTAGCAGCCTAAAGAGTAATAGTAGCAGTATTATTAGCGCTGCAGTGGCAGCGCATACAGCACACGAACTCCACTTATCGCGTCATCAGCCATGGCATGGTAGTCGTTCGAGTGTCTCAGCACTGGAGAGTGGAACTCAAGCTAACAATCATCAGCACGTTCATGGCCTCAATCTAAGGCATTCGTTCTCCACCAGTTCAAATTGTAAATTACGCGAATGTAGCGAAACGTTATCGTCAATGTTGCGTAATTCTACTAATACATGCAGCAAAGACACTTTGATATTTATCGATCAGCAGAACCACCATCATCACCACAGCTTAATCGAAGACGATGACGATTCGTTCATGGGCAGCCGATCACTTTGGGTATGATAATTTATAACATTAATAAACTGTACATATATATGCTAACGTTTTAAACATTCATTTACTCCAGATTTCCCCGGTAACGCCACACAAACTTATAACGGTCTCACCCAAAAACTGAGGTGTCGCTCCTTAGTGAACTTCAATAAGAATTATAACAATTGATAATACAAATATACAGCAATTCGGGAATGAATAAGAGGATTAACGGTAGAAGCTAAGCATCATTGGCGTTTTCGCTATTGACTTTATGTAAAACGCAATTGAACGATTTACCAAGGAAGCGATTCCTTTTAAATTTAAGAAAATTGTGACCAAATTTATATAAATAAATGTACGTGTATGTATGTATTTGATATGTATGTATGCATGTTGCATTCTGTAGGCAATTGCAGTCTTTAGGTGACATTTAGTTACGTACAAAAAAGTGTCGATATTTATGTATACGACACTTAATATCCGCTAAGAGGCAAACAGATATTAAATGATATAGCAATAGCAATTTACAAATCATTATAAATAGATTAATACCAGTGAATGTAGTTTGAATGCACAGAGGAATAAATTATTGTAAAAATACATGTTAACTACGGGCTTAAGTGAAATGAAAAAGTTATCAGAAGTTGGCTTATTGATTGTTGCTACATTTTACATAGTTTGGTCAGAAGCAGGAGTTGTGCAAATATAATGACAGTTTGATATAAATATATATATATATGAAATTATCCAAACAGGTAGATAGGTACGACCACGTTGTGGTGAATTATGTTTTGGTGTGCTCATCTACAAATATATGCATAACGTGGGAAACTCTGAAATACGATATTTTTATGTATGTAAACATGTGATCATGTTAATCATGTATTAATATAAAAATACGATTATATTTACAACTGTAACATTAATTAGTGCTGTAAGTAACTATTATTGAAATATCGTTTTAAATTATTATTTTGTATAGCCGGGTTCAAGAGTATTGCAACATTTTTTATAACTGAAGAGGGCGAAGATAGTCCATTGTTCGCTTTGCTTATTTTATAGATGCAGCGACAGCAGTAGGAAATTGAAATATCTCTTTTCTCGTTAACTGTTGAAACGGCATAAAACATTCCTCATAAACTTGTACGGAATAGTACTGGAAAGACAATCAATCAGCCCTATCACCAATTCCATGTGAATAAATCTTTCCCATAATTTTACATGGAAAACAAAAACAAATTAGGAAAAATTGTTTTTGTTTTATAATTATTTTTTGGGAATATTTGTTGACGTGAAATTCGCGATAGGGCCGAATGCTTTGCCGAATATGTGAATAAAAATTCAACTTGAGTTTCGGCTCAGTTTTCGGAAAACTGCTTAACTCAAGCAACAGCAACTTGCTAGTGCTTGTGGATGTGCTTGGTACGTTTTACCCAAGTCGGTCTCGTATCGTAAAACCGGTCCTCATGATTTATCCGAGTCAATTAATGCATTTCCAACAGAATGAATTATAAGCAACAGTCGGT